ACTTAATTTTATATTTGGTTATTTGTATTTGTTTGCCAGTATTATGTTCTCTGTGATTTATCACTGTAAACATATGAAACTTAATAAAATTTAATTTCAACAATCTTCTGATATTTACTATGGAACTGAATATAATGTATCACTCGGTTTCTATAAGAAAAGATAATCCAGGTTCCAAAAATCCAACTCACAAATGACTACAATTCATGTGCAATTTAGGAATTCTTTCCTTATTATTGTATAATACTGGGATCACTAAAGAGAAGTACAGTGAGGCAGGACAAGAATATCTACTGAGGTGGTAGAAGAAAGTATTAACAAATCTATTTATTTACTTATTTGTATCTCATTCTTTTTCATTTTTCTTTGTTTTTTTTGTTAATGTTCAAAATATATTTGTATTCAGTATATATAATTTTGAAAAGAAACTTTTTTGAGGATGAATACTCAGAATAATTTTTTTCAATTAATATGTGATAAAAGTGCTGTAGACCACTAATAGAAAATGTATGTACATGAGTGATATGGTTTAAAGTTTGGAACTTGAAAAGGGGACTTTTTAAAAGCTATTTATTGCTTTTCTACTAAAAGAAAAAGACTTAAAAAATCTATCAAGCTAACATGTCTTTCTACAGATAAAAACCTCTAAAACAATGATTACCAACTAAAAATAAAGAGCACCTGCAACTTGTAAAAAATGCAAATTCTTTAATCTTACACCCAGAGATTCTGAGCCAATAATGTCAATGGCCTTGAGAGATTAGGATAAAATCTCAACACTATCAATATTCTGGGCCAGATCATTCTTCGTTGTGAGGAGCTATCCTATCCTCTGCATTGTAAGATATTTAGCATTACCCGTGTCCTCTACTCACTAGATGCCAGGAGCACCCAGCCCATTCCCTATTACTACCAAAAAACATGTCTCCAGACTTTGCCAATTTTCTCCTAGAGGACATAATCTTCCCCAACTGATAACAAGAGACAGAAGCTGTCCAAATAGTCACACTTTGAAAAATACCACCCTTAACAAAAGGATAACATAATATGATAAAAGTAGAGGAATATGGATATTATAAGCATATATTGGATAAAGCAAAATAAACAGGCACCCCATAAAGGAAATCTGATTAGCCACTATGAATTCCTGACAACTCAGCTAAGATTACTCAACTTAGAAGTCCAATCTCTTCTCATGTAATTTCAACTTGAAGATTTCTCCCTAGCTTCTATTTTAAATTATTTTTAATTAACTTCACTGGCATTTTGCATCCTGCTATGTAAAGTCCGCCTAATAATCTCAAAGGACTCTCCCAGGAGAGAAGAAATCATACATTGTCACATTAAAGTATATTCCAGCACTCCAGTTCAACAGTCTAAGTCTTGACAAATATAAGGGAGTAGAGGTGGGGTGTGCAGGGATGGGAACAGCACAAGTGATTCATAGTATCCAAACCCCATTATCTTTAATTCATCCATCTGTAGGAAAAAGTTGTATTGATTTCTCTGCTTCAACCACATTTATTACAATGACATATAATATACTTTATAATCTGTGCTTCCACCCTGATTTCTAGAGACTGTGTATGAGACCTTGGACAAGTCACTTAAATTCCCTAGGCAAAAGTGACCCAATTAAATAAACTAAATTATTTCTAAAGATCCTTCTAGTTACAAGTTGCAAATGTATGAATGAAGCACTTAATTAAAAGGCTCTTTGCCCTGGCCAGTTTGGCTCGGCAGTTAGAGAGTCAGCCCACAGACCAAAGAGTCTCAGGTTCAATTATGGTCAAGTGCATGTACCTTGGTTGTAGTTCGGTCCCCAGCCCTGGTTGGGGTCATGCAGGAGGCAACCAGTCAATGTGTCTCTCATAAATGAATGTCTCTCTCTCTCTCTCTCTCTCTCTCTCTCTCCCTCCCCCCCCTCCCTCCCTCCCTCCCTCCCTCCCACTCTGACTAAAATAAATGGAAAAAGTATCCTCAGGTGAGGATTTAAAAAAAAAGGCTCTTTCAATTACATGGATTCCAGTAACTACTATACAAAAAAATATATATATACTTATATTTTCAGTGTTGATAACACAATGAATTTTAAGATGTTTAATCCAAAAGAATAAAAATGACAACTAGATGAAACATGTTTACAAGATCCATTGTCTCTTAAAACAAAAATAAATTTAGCCCAAATTATCCTTCACCTATCAAGATACTTACACAGGTCCTTTGCATAAGCCCAAATACCAAATCAATCTTTTAGAAGTTAGTCACAAATAAGGAAATAGTTTTAAATTGTACCTTAAATTTCTATTTTCTATAACAGAGATCACAAATCAGCTGCTTAGAGGCCATTTCCAGCCTGCAGGTGTTATTGTTTTGTTTGGCTTAGACAATAATTGTATTCAATTAGATGCCAACTCTTAAAAAGGGAGATATGATACATAAAAATCCATATTTTGGATATCTTGTGAAATACTGGAAAATATTAACCCAAATGACAAACATGAGCTGGAGATAAAAAGTATCTCCTCCTGGCCTTGAGCTCTCCATGCACCCACAATCCGCACTGCTCCTCCTATCTTCTGATACCTATCCTGATTCACTCTTACAGACTAGATCATATGAGCCTATGTCTTTGCTCTGTAACAATTTTCAAAATTCACAGAAAATATTTTTATTGTTTTCAAAGCAACCAAATTTTGCTTGCAGAATCACAGCAAATGGGTATACATTTTAAAGAAATAGAGCTATGCTCACAATAAGGAAAACCTTCATAATTCTGAATGCTGTAGAATGCACTTTACTGTAGGTTTCTAACCACCTAAAAGAATAAAGTCTATAAAGGAATTGTAGACTTCAAGGGGAATTCAAACTAGAGGCTCCTAAAATTACCTACAACTTTAATTTTCTACATCTTTGGTTAGCAGTATACAGAGCTTCATATGCATAGGTTATAATATCATGTCTTCATATATATATTTAACTTTGTTTGCAAAAGTACCTTGTTTCATAAAACATTTCGTTTTTCTCACCGATTTTAATATATAAAATTGTTCATTAATTTCAGTTACCTAAGCAGTCACATCCTACCAGAGAATTACTAAGCTATTTTTCAGAAAAGATGATTAAAAATCCAAGGATATTAGGAAGATAAAAGAATTTGAGGAAGTACTTAGGAGTAGAGTGGCCTGTTAGCAAACCTTCTTCACCAATGTGTTTACCAATAAAACCAATCTAACCAGGGAAGCCTACATCTTGAAGCTTTTTCCCTACCCACTCTCTTCAAAAAATTTTTTCTTTCAATATTGCCAGTTTGAAACACAGTCTTTTAAGAAGATCCTTATAATTTTATTTTTTTAAATCAACTAACATTCTATTTACAATTAAATTGATCCCTATTTAAAAGGATGTTCTGAGTTAAAGTTAAACAAACTTAAAAAGCAATTTTGTTGCTGAGGTTAATCCAATTTTCAGGTAAAATCTATCCCAAGAGTTCCACACTGATGCTGTGTGTGTTGTATAAAGCCAACATTCTTCTTCAGACCATTCTAGATGTCTGCTTCTTAAAATCAGATCATGTGATATCTTACAGCATTATGTCTGCAGAGTGAAATTAAGTATCACTGCAAGGTCTTTTGGATGATGTTAAAAATGCATACTATTAAAGTTGGACATGGTAGACATCAAAAATCCCCAAATTAATTGTTTTCCTAGTATGTTTGATGTTGATTTTGGACATCAGCATTGTTAAACATTAGTGTTTAACAGCTAAACTGTGAAAATAAAAAGCCCACCAATGGGTCTATGACTACAGTGACATGCCTAAAGACAGGAAAATGATTGTGTTGGCAATACAATGTGCAGAACAGAGGCTGCTTCTGGGAAAATATGTTTATCCATTCTAGTTCTCTGATTTTCTCTGTTTAGAAAAAACGACTCACTGTTTAGAAGCAAAAAACAATGATGAACGTGATTCGATTTAACAGTCCTGAATGTCAGAACATTTTAACTCAGCCATTGATGATTTCTGCTTTTATCCACTATAGGTTAAACATTCACTTCTGTTCCATTTTTTTCTGCCTTTAAAATAAAATGTCAAAGACCCCATTGCATTACTGTCAAAGGGTGTGGAGAGGTGTGGGGGTAGCTATCAGATATACTTAAAGTTAGGAGTATAAAGTAAGTTTTTGAGCTGTGGAAAAAGTATTGAGTTCATATCAGTATCACAACTCTTTAAGTAAGAACCACCCTAAGAGGAAAATACATCAGAAGAGTAAGGCCCTTGCTCTTTCTTGGTCACCAATGAAAACCTGTTGTTACCTTGAAGAGAAGAAGGGCAATCTGACTTGTTTATAAGCTTGTTATATAAGTTTCTCAGAAACAAGAGTATTTTATAGTCAGCACGTGTTTACACTTTAGAACATATAAGAGTTAATTCATTCCTGGAAAGTGTTTCTTTAAAGGAATATTTATTTAAAAACAAAACAGTTACTGACAACATATGCACAAACCATCACAAAGCAATTGGTCACAGAAACCTGGATTATAAACCCAGTTGCTGAGTATCCCACAAGAAACAGGAAGATGAAGGGAATGCATTCTTGTTCTGAGTACAGAGACAGGCCTGGATCTGATAAAGACAAAAACTGAAGAGACCTAAAGGAGAGCTGTTTCAGAACTCACACATTTGAGGCCCTTCAGTCCATAAGCTTAAAATAGAAGCAATCCGGCCATCCTGTTTCTCCACAGCCAAATGCAAGGGGAGTGGAGGGACCAGCGGATCCCGCCCTCCTATCCAGTTGTTGATCTAGGCCAGGAATCTTGGAGAACTTGCTTTGAGTAAGTTACACTGTGCAAAAAGTTCACAACTATGAGGCAGGTATATGTCCTCATCACAAACCTCCCACACACACATATATGCACACTCCAATCGATAAATGTGTGAACAAAATTTAAAATGCAACAACAACAAAGAAGCTTGCAACTTGCAAGCGCGCACTCACCGTGGGCGGGGGCGCCCAGGCGGCCATCGTCCGCTTCCTCCCCTTGTTGGGGCCCCGGAGCTAGGGCTTCGCCTGCGTCTGACATGGGCTGCTCCACCGACAGCGGTCTAGCTGGCCGCCCCGCCGGGCGGACGCTGAAGGGCAGTTAAGTGCTGGGTGCAGGGAACTGACTGCTTCTGGTGGGGAAAAGAGGGGGTTTTAGAGACAAGCACACCACCCCCGCGGAACATTCCCTCCCCCTACGCTTCCCTCCCCTAAACCCCACCCCGGGGAAGTTTTGATTTGAAACAAGGGAGAAAAACGGTTTACCGGCAAGCTGCGGAGTCTCAGGAAGTTGCTGGGGGACGGGCGGGGGGGGGGGGGGGGCGGTTAGGCGAAGCTCCAGGGAAGAGACTAAAGCCTTCCTCCTCCGGGCCGGAGAGACCAGCACCTACCTCATTATTCTCCCACCCCCAAATCGCTCAAGGCCCCTTTCTCCTCCTCTTCCGCCCGGAAAAGTTAGTGAGGCTCCGGCAAAGGTTGCATCTCGCCCTGGTGGCCTCACAGTGGAGGCCGCCCCTGCCTGTACCTCCCCGCCTGCCTCTGGCTCAGCGCAGTGATGGCAATCGGGCCGTGGCTGCTCCTCTGACCGGGGCTCCGCCCCTCTCCTAGCCAGTTCTCTTGCAATCGGGACTTTTCCCCCGCTGCCTCTTTTTACCCCTTCCACCATTCTTAAACTCCTAAAACACTTCCCTTCTATTGCACCTTTTCATCATATCGGGATGAGAAGGCCTGGAACTCTTGGCCTGAAACCCCAACCTGACACACTCGGTGCTCCCTTGCGTGGGGCGCTAGGTCAGGGGGCCAAAACCACAGGGCAGAGAGGCGTTCTTCCTCAGGCTAGGAAAAAGAGTTCATTGGCTGGTCCAAGACTACCAAGAGTAGTTCTCCCCCACCCCTTCGCCCCACTCCCACCAACTACTCTTCCCAGCCCAGCCCCAGAGCAACTGAAATTCTGAGAATGCTAAAAGGGAAGTAGAAACTTTTAGGGTGGATAATGGAAAACGAAAAAATATCAAACTTTACTGGTGTAATAAAGTATGGTTTTGTAACCTTGACCCCTGAGTGTCAAAGTTAGTGTTTAATCTGAGTGTTTAATCTCCTGATCTGTAACTCTGAAATTCCCTTTATTCTGTTTTTCAGTACTTTGTTTATTTTGGTCAAACAGGATTCTGGATCTGGTAAAACCAGTTACAGTAGCACCAAGGCACTGCAGCCATTCAAGCCTGCAAGCTTGACACTCTTGAATATGCCCTGGCCCAAGGCAAGCTAGGCCTATTACAGGCTGAATGTCTAGACTGATCACTTCTGTGTGAGGAGATAAACTTGTGATTGGAAAAAAATAGCAGATCAACTTTCCATTTATATGGAGACTTTCTGATTGTATCTTAATCTGATGAGCCAAGAACAAGAATAAAGTAATTTGCAGATATAAAGTACTTAAATAATACATTCAGATAACTTTCACTCTTTATTTGAGTGAAGTGCATAATTCATTTGTATAAACCTAGAACAAACTCATTTTTTGAATCTCTAGAAGAGAAGAATCACAGTAATGTTATCAAAATTGAAGAAAATATACAGGTGTTTTATTAATAAATATCCCAGCGATGTCATTCTTTAAAAAGAAGAAATTGTAATTGATTACAAATGATTGAGAAGACCCATTTTTTCTTTTCTTGGGGGGGGGGGGTGTACACGCCCCTAGCGGGAACCGAACCCAGGACTCTCTGGTACGCAGGCTGGCGCTCCAACCGCTGAGCCAAACTGGCCAGGGCCATTTTTTAACTTTTAAAGAGTCAGTGCAACCAAACTTACTTCCAGTTAAACCTGAAAAACACTGACTGCCTTTGAAATTTCTGAGGATAGTTACTCAGACAATACTCCTAAATGGCAATGACATTTTGCCTAATGACCTATAACAAACAAATGTTGTTGTTTTTTATTTTTAATTTACGGATTTCAGAAGTGGTGTGTATATAAGTGCCTTAACTCTTCTGAAAACTTGTCTAGGAGCCTCGACTATTTGGAATCTGCGTGATGGAAGCAGAACAATTCTGAGGATGACTGCACTGCCATCAGAGAATAAACATTTAGGAAGCATCACTGTCTACTGTAGCATAATCTACAACCAAAAAGTGGGATAGAAAGTAGTGGTTCTAGAAGATTCTGTTTTATTCCTTTCTTATAAATTTCCTTGTCTCAGTTTTTGTTTTCTTGTGTTTTTTTGTTTGTTTGTTTGTTTGTTTGTTTGTTTGTTTTAATCCCCTAACTAAGATGTTGTGGGGTGGAACATTATTTTGTTTTCTTATATCTTTTTAAGTTCTTCTGACTGGGCTAATCAAATTAATATGAAACAGACTGATAAAATGGCCAAATTTATTACATATGACATATGGGGGTCCCATACAAATATGAGACCCAAGGACACATTAGGCAGTTGAGGATTATATGCCATTTTGGATCTAAGAAGAAGTTTAGGACTTCAAAGGGCAGAAAGGCAGTTCATATGAAGATGGAAAAGCAAATGTATGGTAAATAAATGTTTGCTGGACCATCTTTAACTGTCTGACACAGAGCCAACTTCAATAAAATGGGCCTTGTTAGTTTCCTCCCTATCAGACTGTGATGATAGTGCCCTTCCTAGAGCAGGTCCGCTATCTACATTATTTTAAGTAGTTAAAGGGAAGATCAAAGTTTCGTTCTGAGTCTTTTATTTCTTAAAACAACGAGGTTAAAATAATGAACATACCAAGAAAGTCATAGCCAGTGATAAATATTTTTGGGTAGCAAACTCTGCTTCCCCCAATGTTGAAGTCCATAAATATCAATAAGATATAGCATCCTTTCAAAATAGTCATGGTCGGTAATAAATATTTCTTCACTTAAATTCACACAGCAATTAATGTGGTGCGCATGGTAGGCAATTCAACAAATACTCTTTGAGTTAAATTTAAACATCTCACCCTTTAAAGGGGAAGAAATAAATTCAAATAAAAATATTAAGAACCAATGAGAGGTTGTGTGGTAGAATTACCAAGATGCTCAAATGTTGTATCTTGCTCAGTGGTGTAAATTTGGTCAAGTTAAACAACTTCTCTAGGCCTTGGTTGCCTCATTAAGTGAAACTGATAAAAGCAACTCTTCATTCCATGAGGACTAAATAAAATAGTTATGTTATCTGAGAATGTCAGATTTGAGGAAAGGTGCTCAGAAATATTGACTTATTATTATCCAGCAGAAACATTTTAATGGGCAATGTTCAACATGGCATAATGACTATATCACAAGGACCACATCAAAATACCAGGTAACCATGCCATGTACTTTGCACAAATTATCCCAATGAATTCTTACATCAGCCCTATCAGTAAGTTGCCAGGATATAGAGCTCAAGTCTGTCTGACTGCAAGACTGTCCTACTTCATTAGGTAAACTCAGGTCTCCCCTCTGAGGGGACCTAGTGGTCCATAAGTCTGATACACCAGGAATTAAGTATGGGCACCTATGCCTAAGATGCCCATTTACCCCATGCCTTGCTGTATTTGTTTAGTCTTTCTGACTAATCTCTTAGCTTTGCTCCTGAGGAGCACTCCAATGTCTTCACCCTCTCATTCTTTATTCTATACATATGTACGAAGGTCAAGAGCCTTGTCATGGATTCTAGGGATGCAGCAGTGAAGATAATGTTTCCATTGCCCTCATGAAGCTCACAATCTAGAAGAAAATATGAACACAACCACTTACAACAGTAATTGAATGGGATGGCAAGGGAAGTAGTATGATGTTATTATACCTAGCAGAGAGATGTAGTCTCATCTAGGAATCAAAGAACCATCTCTTGAAAATGTTATGTGTCCGCTGAGACCAGAAAGGAGAAAGTTAAAGAGGAGAAAAGACTGTCTCAGGCAGAGTAGCAGTGTGGGTAGAGACCCAGAGTTTTAAAGGTAGCCTCGCATCTTTGAAGAACTGAAAGAAGTTCAACATTAAGAAGATAACCAAATGCAAGGGGGAGAGTGATGAGGGCAGAAGTTGAAGAGAAGAGCAGAGAAGGGGTATTGTCTTCGTTGAACAAGGAGGATATATTATCCAAATTTCTGTTTATAAAAGCCACTCTAGTATGATGTGTTAAATAATTTGGAGGCACAAGACTGGAGCTAGAGAGTTCAATTAAAAGGCAACAGATGGCCCTGGCTGGTTTGGCTCATTGATTAGAACCTAGGCCAATGGACCGAAGTGTCACAGATTCGATTCCTGGTCAAGGGTATATACCTGGGTTGCAGGTTCAATCCCCAGCCCAGGTCAGAGTCATGCTGGAAGCAGCCAATCGATGTCTCTCTCTCACCTCTCTCTCTCTCTCTCCCTCTCTCTCTTTTTCTCTCCCTTCCACTCTATGTAAAAAGTCAATGGAAAAATTGCTCTGGCCGGTTTGACTCAGTGGTTAGAGCGTCAGCCTGCAGTCCAGAGAGACCCAGGTTCGGTTCCCGCTAAGGGCACGTACCTCAGTTGCAGTTTGTCCACGGCCCTGGTTGGGGTCGTGTGGGTGGCAACCACTCAAAGTGTCCCTTTCATGTTGATGTTTCTCTCTCTCTCTCCCTCCCACTCTATCTGAACAAAAAAAAAAAAAAAAAAAGGAAAAAATGTCGAGTGAGGATAAAAAATAAATAAATCAATGGAAAAATGTCCTCGTGGAAAAAAAAAAATGCAAGGATGATATTGGCAGAAGGAACAGAGCCAAATAGACAAAGGTAAAGAATGAGGAAGTTAGCGGATCAAGGACAACTTCCAGCTTTCTGCATCAAGGTGTATGGTGGTAATTCTACTTACAGAGACAGAAACATTCAGGAGAAGCAGGTTTTTGGGGAAACTGCTGAGTTAATCATGTACATGGTGTAGTGTCTGAGGTCCCTGCATGACAGCTAATTGGAACCATCTAGTAGGCTGCTGGACCACTGTCTGGAAATGAGCACATAGATGGTACTTTACTGGGTAGAAGATTATGAGTACCCAAAGTGAGTGTGTAGTGTAAGAGCAGAAGGCTTAACACACAGCTGTTGCCTGAATCCAATCCAAATATGTCTGGCAGAATCACTATTATTTAATTACTACTACTATCAGTGTCTTACCCACCATTCCAAATACCCCTGGGTATCATATGGTAGTCATCATTAAGCCAGATTTTGCCATGGCTTATCCAGATTTACCCAAAACAGCAATCTGAATGGGTAAAAATCTTGCATGGGGACCAGCCTTCCACTGAATGCACTATCCCTGGCTCAAAGCCTTCTGCCATTAAATTCCCAATGTGCCTTACAACCATGCCTGTTTAGTGATGTACACACTAATGATGATATAATAATATGTGAACCCATTGTAAAAAGGTCTGACAAGCTAAGCAAATTAAAATGAACTAATAAAAGTGTTTAAAAAGTATTCTTATGGACTACTTAATCTTCATCATTCATTCATTTAATATTCATCGAACATTTATTGTGTACCTCTATATGTTATGACACATGTTATGTTCTGGAGATTTACAAAA